TGACCAGTCATTCCCAGTCTTTCTGCTGTTAGGGTCAGTTTGCATATTACCCTTTTATTATATAGGAGTGCCTGGCCAGCTTGGGTGAGGGGCTGAGAGCCGTTTTCAGGCTGGCCACAGCCCCTTCAGTGTGGGGTTCCCCACTGGGGTTCCTGGCCAGCCGGAGTGAGGGGCTGAGAGCCATTTTCAGGCTGGCCATACCCCCTTCAGGGTAGGGGGGGGGGTCCTGCTGAGGTGCCTGGCCAATCTGGGTGAGTGGCTGATGACAGTTTGCAGGCTGGCCACAGCCCCTTCAGTGTGGGGTTCCCCACTGGGGTTCCTGGCCAGCCGGAGTGAGGGGCTGAGAGCCGTTTTCAGGCTGGCTAAGCCCCGCAGCGGGGACCCTCACCCCATGAGGGTGTGGCCAGCCTGGGTGAGGGGCTGATGGTTGTTTTCAGGCTGGCCACAGCCCCATCAGGGTGGGGTTCCCCCTGGGGTCCCTGGCCAGCCTAGGTGAGGGGCTGAGGTCCGTTTGCAGGCTGGCCACAGCCCATTCAGGGTGGGGGGTCCTGCTGGGGTGCGTGGCCAGTCTGGGTGAGGGGCTGAGGGCCGTTTTCAGGCTGGCTAAGCCCCGCAGCGGGGACCCTCACCCCATGAGGGTGTGGCCAGCCTGGGTGAGGGGCTTGTGGCTGTTGGCCACTATCCCCGGCCACCCAAGCTCCCAGTGGAGGCTGGCTGGAAGCAGGTATCTGGAATTTATTTGTCTTCTATAATTGAAACTTTGTTGCCATGAGCTGAGGCCACCTCCGGCTCAGGGCAGGTGGGAAGCTTGGCTTCCTCCATTGCCCGGGTAACCAAGCCTCCTGCTTGCTCCAGCTCTGTGGCTGTCGGCCGCCATCTTGTTTGGGTTAATTTGCATATAGTCGCTCTGATTGGCTGGTGGGCGTGGCTTGGGGCTTAGCGAAGGTGCGGTCAGTTACCATCTTTGTCTTTTATTAGTGTAGACTAGAGGCCCGTTGCATGAACAGATTCGTGCAATACGCCTTTGCTTCCCCTGGCTGCTGGCACCGGTTTTCCTCCCGCACCCGGGACCCAGGCTTTCGCTCCAGAGCCTTCAGTCTTCATGGCTCTGGATGGAGCCTTCAGTCTTGCAGCTCCGGACGGAGCCTTCAGTCTTCGCTCCGCCACTTCGCCCCTACGTATGCAAATAAACCGCCATCTTTGTTGGGTTAATTTGCATACTCTCCTGGTTGGCTGGTGAGCTTAGCGGAGGGACGGTTAATTTACATGTTTGTCTATTATTAGGTAAGACTAGAGGCCAGGTGCACAACATTGGTGCACTGGGGG